GGGGGGGGGGGGGACGTGAGCAGCAGTTGCATCAGGCCGACAGACAGATAGCCACTGGCAGGCAAATGAAACCGCAGGTGGCGCTTCGTTGAACACTTGACGGAACAACTAACACACGTTACACCTTTTCTTCAACTCTTGATTGCAAGCGTCCCTAGGTAGAGTTTGTCCTACGAACTTCCTCCTATTATAGCATATAAGAAAACACACAAAAAAAAGTCATGACCGCTCGAAAATATAAGGAACATTCGGATAGAAATGTGAACATTCGGATAGAAATGTGAACATCCCAATGTCCTTACACAAGTACATTGCATTGTTTGGGTGTGTGCGTGTCACCGCAGCCACCGTTTGTACGTACATCTGCGCGCATCACGCACACACACACAAGAGTAGTAGAAGCCATGGAAAAGTGTGCAGTTTTCTTCTGATATTGCTAATACGGTATCTGTCTTTAGTCCGGAGAGTAGCGTAGACTCCCCCATGACGCTCGGTCACAGGGTCTCGGGTCGTGGCCTTTGGAAGTATTTTTTGTCGTCAGTCCCACTCACTGAGGCTGACGTATTTTCGTTTGGTCAGCCGGTTGGCGTGGTCGATGCTAAACAAGGAAGACACACACACAACACACACACAAGCGCGATTGATGCTAATCATGAACACACACACACGCTGTGCTTTTTCACTGCTGTGTGTGTGTGTGTGTGACGAAATGTCCGTGCGCGTGCGTGTCCCACCTGCTGCCACAACAACGCCTCTTTCCCTTTTTTTGCTCTGCTCTGTGTGTGACGAACATGTCCGCGCGCGTGCGTGTCCCACCTGCTGCCACAACAACGCCACTTTCCCTTTTTTTACTCTGCTCTGTGTGTGACGACATGTCCGCGCGCGTGCGTGTCCCCACTTGCTGGTACCCCTGCCACAACGCCGCCACTACGACTTGTACGCTCGAAAGGTGCCGGCGATCAGCGTGGTCCAGTGGCACCCGTTCACCATATCCTCCTGCCCGGACGACCGGGAGACCACCCACCACATCAAGGACATGGGGCCCGACACCTTCACGGGGAAACTCAGGTGTGGTTCGGGTTACGGTTAGGGCTTCAGGTTTGGTTCGGGTTACGGTTCGGGGTTTACTACAGGTTCTCGTTTTTACTGCGGGTTTTCTCCTGCGCGAGAGGCAGGGCTTCCGTCGTACACGCGAACAACGTGGCAACCTATTTGGTTCGGGTTACGGTTCGGGCTTCGCTACAGGTTCTCTCCTCCGCGAGAGGCAGGGCTTCCGTCGTATGCGTTCAAGGTGGAAATCTATGCGCCAATCAAGAAAAAAACAGGTGCCACGTATCAGTGGAGGAAAAATTATCTCTCGTTTGTATGAAACCGTCAACTCTGCATGCGTTGGTCGCTAAGGTTGCGTTCCTTTTTTTTTTTTTTCGTCCGACAACTACATATTTGTGGTGTTCGCTGTTTTTTTTTTTTTTTCATCTTTTCGTCCCGTCTTTTTCTTTAATTTTGTTCAGAATGCTCGCCACTCTTGGAAGCCAGATCCAGGTCAACGTGGATGGGCCGTATGGATTCCCTCTGGAGGTGAGAGAAGGACGGCGACCGGCGGTTGGTGGTGGCGGTGTCATGATATGTCTGTGGGGTTATTTTCAGTCAATATCGGTGGTGCTGACCGACCGGCTGATCAAAGAACAGACGCCACAAGACGCGGCCTTGTTTTCAGCCGCATATGAAACGCGGACGTGTCTCTAGCCATCTGGCTCCCCCGGCAGGGGGAGGGGTGGGAGTTTTTACGTGTGTGTCTGTGACACCCCGTGTGGTTGAAGGCAAATGACACGACCCCTCCCCCCGTCCAGGGCCATTTTTCTTTACGGTCGGTTCCCTCCGGATACGAGAGCAGAGTGGTCGATGCATGACGTCGTGTGGTGCATCGTGATGCCATGGTGCACAATGCCATGATTCCCGAAGGCCATGGTGCAAAATGCTATGATACCTGAGGCCGTGGTGCATTATGCGGCCCGCATGTACGATCGGGCCGATGTTTGGGTTGACTAAACAGCTGCCCTTCTTTGGCGTTGGTGCCTGGAAGTCGTGTGGCTAAGGAAGGAAGTTGGAAGCCGCCTCTCCATCTTTATGAGGCGACTTTCGTGGTTGGAGAGAGGAGGGCCTCCGTGGCGCGATGGGGGAAGCTCTCAAAGTTGGATCTGTATGATGAGATCTATGTACGCCATGAGCATACAACGAGGCGAAATGTTGGGTTACCGTAACAGGCGATGAGATGCCCCCCCCCCCCCCCCCCCCCCCCCCCCCC